TATTTAATGATAGAACAAGCAGTAGTAGTTTAAATTCAATGTTTATAAACACACACGAAACTGGAAACGGAACTAGAAAACTAACGCAACAAGATTTTTGTGAGCGAAGAATGTTTGAAACGTTGCCTACAACAACACAACAGAGTAGTTCACCTATACATCCAAAAACTACACCAACACACAAAAAAAACCATAATCAATTTCATCGAACATCATTAAAACTAACAGTCAAACCAAGAGTTGTTTCAAAACACTCTCATATGGAATATCAAAAAAATAGGCCAACAACCTAAAAACCACCGCTTAAATAATAAAAATATACCAAAGGTAAAACTTTGTTAACCATAATTATGATGTTTTGACTAATCATAATGTTAATAATCCCATAGCACGACCTCTTTATCTAGCCCAAAATCAATCAGAAGAACATAATTTTACCCAACAGGTACCAAAAAATCCAGTATCTCAATCTGTTAGTTGTAACGAGGAAATAAAATCTCAGACAGACTGCACTGAAAATTATCAGTTTTTTCAGCGAAACAAAAACAACCCAAGTTCTAGACAATACAAAAGAAGCCAACCCAACTACTCCAACGATGAATTTTACTTCCATCCGAACCAACAACAGTATAATAGTCACATGAAAAGCAACTTGAATGATGTAGATCAACCAGATGATTTTTTTGTCGACCAAAACATTTAGAACTTTTCATTAACCTCCATCAACCAAGACAAGTACACACAATTTCCTCAAAAACAAACTTTGGGTACAAGCAAATACTAGGACCCAATCGCAAATTTTTAAAATTGCTCAAGATTAGCAAACCGAATACACCAAAAAAGAAATTTCACTACCCTGTTATTTTTAACAACATGGAATTAAAAAAAACGTACAAATGTTACACAAACACTAAATACAGTAGAATCAATCCAAATGACTATGAACTTTTATTTTATAGGTAGATCATCTATAACATCCAATACACCACCCACGCTGTTTACAGGAACCGATCCTGAATACTTAGTAGAAGATTATTTAAACGCTGTCACAACTAACCTAATATCAAATATAGGCCCACAACTTATCCATACACCACTTACCAAAATTGGATTCGTAGACAAAAAGCATTGGTACAAACTACACTTGAAGGTACAGCTCAAAATTTTTTTCAGTTTTACCTAAAGATATTAAATCCGATTGGAATCGATTTACCGAAGAACGCTCAAAAATTTTTGAGTCTGAACGAAACAAACAACTTCAAAGGGTTAATTGTAATGAAATTGGCAGATTCCCGAACAAAACCATAACCAATTCTGGAACCAATTATATATTTTGCAAACTTGAAGACAAATCAGAGCAGACTGAAATGACAATAAAAACAGAACAAACAGAAAACTTAAAATCATAATATGTAGAAAACTTTCAAACAACTACTTCTTAAATGAACAACACCCAAGACTCATTAACAACACCCACCAACAAAAAAAAATGACATTCTGAACATTTATAAAGAGATCCCAAAAATTGATGGAAAACCTTCATTCAAAAAATATGTAACTATTGCCGCAGATACAGACACACTATTGCTGAATGCAGACAAAAACAACAAGATAAATCGAATAGACCAACAGAAATATAAGAACCAATTTTATCTCTCTACCAAAACGTCGAAGAAGACCAAATATTACCAAACAAGACATTTAAACAATAACAGTTCAGGAAAACCACTTCCAACTAGCTATAGTGATAGCAGACCACAATATCCACCTTCTAATAACTTTCGTGGAAGATCATCAGATAGACTAAATTCACAATATTTTTCACAGAGCTGCTACAGTAGACCAAATAGTCAGACTAATCAGCACAGAAAATTTTAAGCCAGATCAAATTCTAATAATAGTAATTAATCTAATTTTAATTGAAACTGTTCATACTCAATTTCTCGAAATAGATAATGTTCTAACTATTGTAGACTAATTTCTTCAAAAAACGTAAAAGGATTCATTCGAACAATCCTAACAGGAACTACTCAATTTGACGAAGGATCACAATGTGCCATAGGATGAACAACCACGCCGCCTAACACAATTCTCTATTGGAAATTAACAATGTGAATCTAATAGGTTGTTCTATGGCATAGGACCAGCTGCAATTATGAGTAAAACTTTCATACAACTAAATTTTAAGTAAAAACGTCTTCTTATATTTGGACGATGTTTTCATACATTCACAAACCAAAACAAGAATTGATCAAAATCCTAGATGAATGAAGGCTTTGTGAAAAAAATATGAAAGCAGCCCCGGAAAAATCACATTTTTTCTCACTCGTACGATTTTTCTTGGACATATTATTTAAGGAACCACCAAAACGCCTTTAAAATCTCAAATAGATGCAAATTTAAAACTTCAACCATCATCAATTATAATGAAAATCAAAGAATTCTTTAGAATGCTAAAATTTATGCGTAATGCAACTATACTTAAGACCATTTTACAAATTTCTTCGACAGCAAAATTTTTTTGAATGAACCCTAGAACATCAAAAATTGTTTTGATGAAACAAAAAACTCTTCTAACTGAACGAACCTCAAACACCATTCCTATCCAAACCAACCATTCTATCTTATATGCGACGCCTCAAAACTTAGAATTGAATTGGCGCAGCTCTTTTACAATCACAAATAAGCTACAGCATAATGATCCTAATATCAGCAAACTCAAGACTTTTTTTACAAGCAGAACGAAGAATCGTTACACTTATAAGAGGATGTAC